GAATAGAATTAGAGAATTTAGAGAAGCAGTAGATTGTGATCTGAGTTTAGTGGGACAATATATTGTGATACTAAATAGTATCAGGAATTTTTTTCTGATTTAATTAATAAATTTAGTGAAACAGTACATTGTGATCTGAGTTCAGTAAAACAGTACATTGTGATCTGAATTTAATAAAAGAGTATGTTGTGATACTAAATCGATTTACGTTAATTAGTGCTGACAGAGTAAGTCAATGAGAAGGTAAGGATTTTTTTCGAATAGAATTAGAGAATTTAGAGAAGCAGTAGATTGTGATCTGAGTTTAGTGGGACAATATATTGTGATACTAAATAGTAACAGGAATTTTTTTCTGATTTAATTAATAAATTTAGTGAAACAGTACATTGTGATCTGAGTTCAGTAAAACAGTACATTGTGATCTGAATTTAATAAAAGAGTATGTTGTGATACTAAATCGATTTACGTTAATTAGTGCTGACAGAGTAAGTCAATGAGAAGGTAAGGATTTTTTTCGAATAGAATTAGAGAATTTAGAGAAGCAGTAGATTGTGATCTGAGTTTAGTGGGACAATATATTGTGATACTAAATAGTAACAGGAATTTTTTTCTGATTTAATTAATAAATTTAGTGAAACAGTACATTGTGATCCGAATCACTGAATTATCTAACATTAAATAATATTCATAGAGTAACATCTGGGAAAAATAAAGAATGTCCATCACAACAAATATTTTACTGAAACCAAATTTATTTTTATGAAATTTAGCGAAACTAAAATCAGTGAAACAATACATTGTGATCCTGATTACTGAATTATCCATCAATTATCATTGGTGGACTTCCATATGGGAAAAAATAAGGAATGTTTACAACAATCATTACTCCAACGAAACCAAATTCGTTATAATAAATTTCTTAATTCAATGAATTTTGAATTCGTAACGAATAACGAAATTTACTGAAACAGTACATTGTGACAGTTCTATTTATTCACCACCAATTACTATTCACACAGAAATATACTAATCAGAAAAATAAATAAAAAAAATAACGTCCACGAAAAATATAATTTGAATGAAACGAAAAACGAAACAGTCCGTCGCGATACTAATCACTAAACAACGTTGCGTCACTAATTAGCGAACAATGTAACAACAATCGCTACTGATAAATAAATCGTCAAAATATTAATAAAACAACATCTTCGAAGATCTAAGAATTTTTCCTAACCAGCCAGTGTCCACTGGCCTAATCGTTCCAACGAAGCAAAACATCCGCGATCGAAATTCATCGAACACAATTCGCGAACTCGCGCGACACCGATTCCCCAATTCGCGCGCACCGTCGCCAACGCATACTCACCAATACCACTGCACCCACGACCATAACTCCGATAGCGAATTTCCTGGTGATGAGGCCGTACCGGCTCCTGGTCTCTCGATCGCTGTGATCAGAATAAAGTCCGAGCTGTGATATACTGATCGCGGTCCTCCGTTCGGTCTCAAGCATGTCCTCTCGCTGGCTGGAATCCTCCGTGACCATTCATTGGCGACGTCCAAGCGACCCTAACTCTTGAACCCTGCGCTTCGCGAGCTACTTGCGAGCAGATCGCTCTGCGATCGGCATCAAAAAAGCCACCGAAAGGCCCGGAGAGCTGACTTTGATCAAAGAGCGACGCCCGTCAAGATGCTGATTTCCGCGGGAAATTCGTCAGAGAGACCGCGCTGCACCCGATCCGATCATCGTCGAGGACTCTCAGCGTCGATCGATCCGTCACTTCGCGCGAGACGATCGCTTCGCGGCCTCGGAATATCTCGGAAAAGAACGCCGCTCGGTGTTCCACCGAAGCGCCATACGCGACTAACGAGCTCTCATTTCGCGCCGCGGAGTTTTCACTGGCGATTCTATCGCGTAGAAAATTTCTTCGCACGTGGGGATGAGGCTCGTTATGCCAGCAGCCTGATGGGCTACTTGCCACGCCATGGGGATCGGGGCTGCGAGGTGAATGTCAATGCCATCGGCGGATCGCGCCGTCCCTTTGTCGCGCTGGGTGCCCCCCTAAATGACTTGTCCTGTTAACGAACGCGCAGCTGGAACCTTGGCATGATTGCTCAGAAATCACTGCTCGATACCCTGTGCGACGTCGGCGAGAGCGAGTCGAGTTATCGCCGAATTCGGCGCACGATTTTCGCACGCGCCGATTGCCGGAGCTTCGTCTAAAAGAGCACCGAGACACGCATCGAACGTGTCACGAGCAACAAATTCTAACGAACGGATGTTAATACTAAATTTACGGAATCCGTTAATATGACGGTTCATTAATTTTTTAATTTTTTAATTTACGATTACTCGTAAATATATGTTGCTCACTTAATAAATGTTACAATAACGCTTGCTAAAAATCAGGATAAATGTCTTATTGTTGCTTTTATAAACTAATACGAAACAGCTGTTTTTTAATATGAAACAGCTCCGTAAATCTAGTGTCAATACTGCAGCGAATCCGTCGCGGTAACGGCGTCGCGTACTTTCGTACGCGCGGCTGAAAACGACGCGTCGTCCGTGAGTGCTGTTTCATGTAAAATCGCGTTTCACAATCGTTAATATTCATGAGCGAGCTCTCGCAGGCGGAAAGGTGACTCTAGAGGCCCCGTGGCGGGTCAGGTGCGGGCCTCTTCGGGCCCGTCAGGTGCGCGGCGACTTCGGCACTTGAGCGTGCGATGGGTGCTCTTTCTCTTGGGTGCTCTTCTCGTCGAGCACTGGGCGCAGAAGATCGAGATGGGCGCGACGAAATTGAGCGTAGCATTCGCGTGGGAGAAACGTGAAAAACTTTCACCGTCTAGCTGCCAAAATAACCGAGGATTCGGCGGAAAAAGGGAGGGGAGAGCGTTTCGTCTGGGGCCCATTTGAGGACTCATCAGTGAGATTATTTTAGCGGACCCTTGCCTTGGGATGTCTGAAGGACGGATGAGGTTTGTGTACAGGGCGTCTCTAAAATGTCTCACAATACTAAAATGGAGGATAAATGAGATCATTTGAAACAACTTTTTCCTTCGCGAAGATGTTCTACGAGGCTTCGTTTACGAGTTATCAGCGAAAAAGCACTGGCCAATGAGAGACGAGCGCGGCTGGCGCCAGGCGGAGGAGCCAAAGAGCGGAGCCGGGCGTCGACCGCTGGTTGGCGAGGCCGCATCGCGTCAGTTGCGCTCGACTCTCATTGATCACTGTTTTTCGTTAATAACTCGTGAACGAANATTGTAAATTGCTATTAAATTGTTATTAAACTGTTACTAAATTGTTTGTAAATTTCTATTGAATTTTTAATAAATTGTCACTATATTGCTGGTAAACTGCTATTAAATTTCTAATAAATTATTATTAATTTTTTAGTAAATAGCTATTAAATTATCAGCAGGTTGATACTAAGTTATTACTAAATTGTTACTAAATTCTTACAAAATCGTATCCAAATCGTCACAAAATCCTTACCAAACAATTCCTAAAAAATGACAACATTTTTCAACAATGTTACAACAAATTCAGATCTAATCTCCATCGCAAAAAGTCTGACCTCTTACCTGGACATCTTGTTCTTCCTTTTCGGGTACAAGTTCAAGTGGAAGATCATCTGCTGCCTCTCCTCTTCGTCAGTCAGCGGCTGATTAGGCACCGCGAGCATCTGTTGCGGCGGCACCGGCGCGTAGAACTTAGGCACCCTGTTAGACTGAAACGGTCGCCTGATATCGTAATCGTCTGCAGGGACCTGTTTCGGTCTGGTGTTCTTCTTGCTCTGCTCCAGGACGTCGGTGATCGGATAGATATCCAACATCACGCTGAACGGTTTCGGTTTGCGACGTTTCGCCGGATTGTAGGCAGCCACGTTCTCGTATTGCTGATCAGTCGCTGGCAGGGGCTGCGCCGCGTAGGTCACCGGCCTGTTGTAGGGGTCGTAGTATGGATTGTACCGCTGCAACCCAGTTGGAGCGAATCTGGAAGGGTTTGTTGACTTTCGAGTGGAGGTTCGAGCGAAGTTCTAGGGAGATCTGATGATTTAATGGGGACATTTTTACTGTGGCTTTGTTGGCCAACCAGAAGACGAGAGGAGAAATTTTATGTCTGATGATGTTTTTAGAGAAAAAAAGAACAAGAGGGGGAGCTTCATATTTAACCCTCGAGTACATATGTGAGCCTCTGAGATAAAAGTACTCACATAGGAAGTACTGATAGCTCCCCAGTCCCATAATTAAGAATTAAACGATTCTTGAGGTCATTTCAAGCAATTTTTTCCTTTACGAAAATTGTCTCCGATGCACCGTTCACGAGATATTAACGAAAAACTGTGACCAATGAGACGCGAGCTCAGCCGGCGCGAGACGGGTACGGCTGACGCCCCGTCCGCGCGACCACCACCGCTGCGCCAGACGGTAGGCGCGACGCGGCATCGGCCGCGAGGGCGGAGCGCCAGCCGCACTCGCTCTCCGATTGGCCACTGTTTTTCGTTAATAACTCGTAAACGAAGCCTCGTAGAACATTTTTGCTAAGGAAAAAGTTGCTCCAAATAACCTCAGCAATCGCCTCGTCCCAGGTGTTAACACAATCACGGGACACGCTGTATAATAATATCTATACATATTTTACAGCTCCATAAACGTTATTATAATACAATTGAAATATTATAAATTGCCATGATTACATTTCCAAATGACAAAAGAAGACACCTAACATTTTCAAATACTCTATGTATGTGTTTCATTCAGACCTGACATTGGACGTGGCCAACAGATTGACGTCCCCCGGATGCTTCGGTTTGTACTGATAGAAGGGATCCTCGTTCGAGTACGGATAGCCGTCCTCCTCCTCGGACCGATCGCTGTTGGACATCATCTCGCCGATGTCCGACGTCATGTCGTACTTCTTCGGGTTCACGTAAACACCGGTGAACTTGATGCCTCTGTTCGGCAGCTCGGCCTCGTTCGTCAGGTACTTTATGATGTCCTGTATGCTCCGCGACGCGTGCGGATACCGGTATTGCGTCAGCTGAGGATACTTCAGACGCTTGAAGGCCGTCGGCTGCTGGGACTTCAGCTCCCAATGGAACGGCGTCGGCCGGCTCTCCTCGGAGCTCTCGTCATCGTCGATCGAGCTTGGATACCTGTGTCTGATCAATATTCATTTACACGGAGTGTAAGAAAACATCTGCTTGATGTTTTCAATCCCATTCAGCCGATCGATTAATATTTGCTCACGGAGTTGTGCAAAGATGTTTCGTATCAGTTTAATGTTCGAGGGAGTCTGGTTTATCTTCGATTTATTAATTCGATTTATTTATTAATTATTATTATTATTATTATTTATTTAGCACATGGGAGTTAGAATCGATTTTAGTGGCCTTGGAATATGTACGGTGTCCCATAATTACGTTAAAACCCTGAGGGAGGTGATTCCAGAGGCCATTTGAAGCAACTTTTTCCTTTGCGGAAATGTTCTACGACGCTTTGTTTACGAGTTATCAACGAAAAACAATCGGAGAGCGAGTGTGGTCGGCGATCCGCCTCTGCGGCCAATGTCGCGCCGCGCCGGCCGTCTGGCGCAGCGGTGGTGGTCGCGCGGACGGGGCGTCAGCCGTACCCGTCTCGCGTTGGCTGAGCTCGCGTCTCATTGGTCACAGTTTTTCGTTAATATCTCGTGAACGGTGCCTCGGAGACGATTTTCGTAAAGGAAAAAGTTGCTTGAAATGATCTGAGGAATCACCACACTCCGGATGTTTATATAATTATGGAACACCCTGTATTTTGGACTACCTTTTTCCAGAGATATTGACGTGAGGACTCGGCTTTCGAGATGATATACTAACTCAGACATAACCTAGAATTAATCTAGCTTAATCTAGACTTAAGTTAGAATAAATGTAGACTTAATCTAGACTTAATCTAGACGTAATTTAGACCCGATTTAGACCTAATTTACACTCTCAACGTTCAAAATACTTAAAAACCGTTATTATAGCGTTACAAGTATAGGTTATGTCTCGGCATTACGTGAAATGGTAATTCGAAATTTCCTAAAAAAATGTCCCGTTCGAAAACGCCTCGACAAACCCATAATCCGTCTCGTTTCGTTCGGTGTCCAGCTGCGCGTGCGACGTCGCAACCATTTCGACGATCGTCAATGAATCGATTGCGTCACAAATTTCGTAAACAGTCGAGCGTCGCGCGCTCGGAGATTGCGAGAAGTTGATCACATACCTTTGTCTCACGCGGTAGACAGCCGCGTGATTGTCGAACAACTGTTTGCCCTCCGCGGGCGACGCGTCGCCGTTACCCTCCACGGACTTCAGCACTCTTTTCCGTAATTTGTAGTTGTTCAGATTCTGCGTGCGCAGCTCGGCGTCCGGTAGTTCGTTGTTGCCGACGCCGGCGTACGGGAACATGTTGTTTCCATTGTCGGACCGATCCTGGAGGGAAACCGGATGTCCGAGCACGGAGCGATTCGTCGCCGATCCGTTCACGAATTTCCTCGTCGCGTTGGTCGGCTTCCTCAAGGCATGCTGCAGGATGTACATGTGCTTCGACTCCTGGTTCACCTTGCTGTTCACGGCTGTAGCGGATGCGAAGTCGTACAGAAATATACCGACCTGCAATCAGACGCCGAGGGAGACATAACCTGTTTTTCCGAATTTCGAATTTGGACTCGTCACGTGCATTTGTACCACTCGTTAAAACTGTTTAACGTATTTTATAATTAGTTAACACATAATTATGATACATAAATTGTAATTAATTAATAGAAATTTATAGACTGAAGTAAACGATTCACCGAGTCATTTGGAGAAATTTTTTCCTTTGCGAAAATTTTTTCCGAGGCTCCGTTAACGAGTTATCGTAGATAAACACGAACCAATCGGGGAGCGCGGTGGACAGCGGCGCGGCGGTCGCGAGGGCGGGGCACCGGCCGCACTGCTCCCTCATTGGCCCACGTTTACTGGCCAATAACTCGTGAACGGAGCCTCGTAGAGAATTTTCGCAAAGGAAAAAGTTGCTCGTAATCACTTGAGGAATCGCCGGCTTCAAGGACTCTCGACGTTTTCAACATACTCTATATATTTTTCGCAAATCAAAATTGTCTGCATCCGTTGCACGAGATGGAAACTGAATGGCAAGTTCACTCCATCTGCAGTCATTTCAACAGGTTAAAAATAATACATTGACATTGTTAAATTCTTTTGACATAATTTAATAAAAAGGGAATAAAAAACAGGTGGATATTTTTCACCAAGAAAATATCTCAAAAAATTGCGATCGCTACAATCAAGAACCTTCATAACCTGGTTCGATTATTTCCACTGTTTTTTTTTGCTTCGTAATTTGCATGCGCTGGAAGATCGAGCTCGTTAAACTCCGTGCTTTCTCTAATTAAACAGTCTAGTCGATTGTAATCTGGTTTCTACGGTTGCGATATCGTTTGGATTTTTTCGACGGAAAAGGCAAAGGAAAAAAAAATTCGACGCCGACTCCGTTTGTCGCCGGTGTCTCGGGTTTCTAACGTGATCGGCGTGATTGCCGCGTTAACGAGAGTTAATTCGTGTCGAAACACAGTTAACGCCCTATATGTGAAGCGTGCAGAAATATCGTCTTTGACGCTTGGCTCGCCATGCATGGAAGGGCTATGCAGAGATTTGCGGTGAAATTGTGATTTTTAGCATCACCGCGGCGCGCCTGTTACATTAATCATGGGAGAAAACTCGGCGAGATGTAATTGCGCCCATTGTTCTACGGAATGCCGCCTCGTTAAGACACAAAGGGTCCGAAAGCTTTACTTTTTTCACGACAATCGTGGCCATTGTCGGACCGAGCCGCGCCGTTTATCTGGTTTCACATAATATTTATGATAATTATAGCGCGAACCCGTTTCTAATTGCCCATTTTATAAATTAGTCTTCGAGTATCTCCATTGTTCGCGAATCGGACGATTTAATTAAACATTTTTTTTGCTTTTATTTCCAACTGCAACAGGAATCGCTATTTTACTAATTGATATTAAATTATATTATTATATTATTCTATTATTTTGTTATTCTGTTATTATATTATTATATTATTCCGTTATTTTGTTATTCTATTATTCTATTATTTTGTTATTCTATTATTATATTATTCTGTTATTCTGTTATTCTATTATTCTATTATTCTATTATTCTGTTATTATGTTATTCTATTATTATATTATTATATTACTGTTATATTATTGTATTATTATATTGTTTTATTATTATATTATTATAATATTATATTATTATATTATTGTATTATTATATTATTATATTGTGATCATTAACAATTTATACAAAACCCAAAATGATTTCAAAAAGTTGTTGCTGATTTATCTTTCTCATTTATTGCATAAGTATACTTTGACATAATAATAGCAAATATATAGGTGATTCCATAGCTATATAAAGAAAGATATAAACATTTCACAACGAAATTAAACATCATGGATTAATTTTGTTAACAAATTGTTCCACCGGTTCGTAAATTGTTTACAAAATACCACAACCCGATTGTCGATATTTGCACATCAACGTGCAATTAACAGTTTTAACAACAGTTTTATTAACACAGACGTGTATCACTTTATAACAAGGATCTAATAGACACGCGGTTTTCTAGACCAACTTTCGAGCAATTAAAAAAGCCGCTGGCCCGATTGAATCCCACCGGGACAGGACGCCCGATAAATTAATAATTCCACGCGGAATTTTCTATTTACGTCATCGCCCGTTCATTAAGGATCTGTTGACCCCGCTTGAGTGCGCGTGCGCGCGCGCGCGCGCTCGAGCGCGAGCGCGTTAAATCGTGCGAACGTACGAACACGGATAACGTTTAGACACGATCCGACGCAGTGAACTGTTAATGAGCGACGGATAATGGGCCGGGATCACGCCGAGGAAGTCGTTGAACCGGATGGCCGTGGCAACAGGAACAACTGTGCCGATCTCGGTCGACGAGCAGATCGAAGGATTGTGCAACGCCCGGCGTAATTAGCCGGTGATCTAACGTCGATTGATATCGTCCGAGCGAGGGCTTGGGAAAATGGAGAATTTTCGGGGTAATTGTCATTTTAATATGAGCTAAAATTAATTGAATCACGTCTTGCGAAGCGAAATTTTGTGGGACAGTTTAGTTATTAGCGGTACTAATTGCTAAATAATTTTGTATTAATCAGTGTTGGCAGAGTGTAACGTCTTCGAAGTGGTAAGGAAATTTTTTTGAATAGAATTAGAGAATTTAGAGAAGCAGTAGATTGTGATCTGAGATTAGTGGAACAATATATTGTGATACTAAATAGTTTTATATTAATTAGTGTTCACAGGATAAGTTGTCAGAAAGATAAGGAATTTCTTTTTAATGGAGTTTGTAAATTTAGTGAAACAGTACATTGTGATCTGAGTTTAGTAAAACAGTACATTGTGATCTGAATTTAATAAAAGAGTATGTTGTGATACTAAATCGATTTACGTTAATTAGTGCTGACAGAGTAAGTCAATGAGAAGGTAAGGATTTTTTTTGAATAGAATTAGAGAATTTAGAGAAGCAGTAGATTGTGATCTGAGTTTAGTGGGACAATATATTGTGATACTAAATAGTATCAGGAATTTTTTTCTGATTTAATTAATAAATTTAGTGAAACAGTACATTGTGATCTGAGTTCAGTAAAACAGTACATTGTGATCTGAATTTAATAAAAGAGTATGTTGTGATACTAAATCGATTTACGTTAATTAGTGCTGACAGAGTAAGTCAATGAGAAGGTAAGGATTTTTTTTGAATAGAATTAGAGAATTTAGAGAAGCAGTAGATTGTGATCTGAGTTTAGTGGGACAATATATTGTGATACTAAATAGTAACAGGAATTTTTTTCTGATTTAATTAATAAATTTAGTGAAACAGTACATTGTGATCCGAATCACTGAATTATCTAACATTAAATAATATTCATAGAGTAACATCTGGGAAAAATAAAGAATGTCCATCACAACAAATATTTTACTGAAACCAAATTTATTTTTATGAAATTTAGCGAAACTAAAATCAGTGAAACAATACATTGTGATCCTGATTACTGAATTATCCATCAATTATCATTGGTGGACTTCCATATGGGAAAAAATAAGGAATGTTTACAACAATCATTACTCCAACGAAACCAAATTCGTTATAATAAATTTCTTAATTCAATGAATTTTGAATTCGTAACGAATAACGAAATTTACTGAAACAGTACATTGTGACAGTTCTATTTATTCACCACCAATTACTATTCACACAGAAATATACTAATCAGAAAAATAAATAAAAAAAATAACGTCCACGAAAAATATAATTTGAATGAAACGAAAAACGAAACAGTCCGTCGCGATACTAATCACTAAACAACGTTGCGTCACTAATTAGCGAACAATGTAACAACAATCGCTACTGATAAATAAATCGTCAAAATATTAATAAAACAACATCTTCGAAGATCTAAGAATTTTTCCTAACCAGCCAGTGTCCACTGGCCTAATCGTTCCAACGAAGCAAAACATCCGCGATCGAAATTCATCGAACACAATTCGCGAACTCGCGCGACACCGATTCCCCAATTCGCGCGCACCGTCGCCAACGCATACTCACCAATACCACTGCACCCACGACCATAACTCCGATAGCGAATTTCCTGGTGATGAGGCCGTACCGGCTCCTGGTCTCTCGATCGCTGTGATCAGAATAAAGTCCGAGCTGTGATATACTGATCGCGGTCCTCCGTTCGGTCTCAAGCATGTCCTCTCGCTGGCTGGAATCCTCCGTGACCATTCATTGGCGACGTCCAAGCGACCCTAACTCTTGAACCCTGCGCTTCGCGAGCTACTTGCGAGCAGATCGCTCTGCGATCGGCATCAAAAAAGCCACCGAAAGGCCCGGAGAGCTGACTTTGATCAAAGAGCGACGCCCGTCAAGATGCTGATTTCCGCGGGAAATTCGTCAGAGAGACCGCGCTGCACCCGATCCGATCATCGTCGAGGACTCTCAGCGTCGATCGATCCGTCACTTCGCGCGAGACGATCGCTTCGCGGCCTCGGAATATCTCGGAAAAGAACGCCGCTCGGTGTTCCACCGAAGCGCCATACGCGACTAACGAGCTCTCATTTCGCGCCGCGGAGTTTTCACTGGCGATTCTATCGCGTAGAAAATTTCTTCGCACGTGGGGATGAGGCTCGTTATGCCAGCAGCCTGATGGGCTACTTGCCACGCCATGGGGATCGGGGCTGCGAGGTGAATGTCAATGCCATCGGCGGATCGCGCCGTCCCTTTGTCGCGCTGGGTGCCCCCCTAAATGACTTGTCCTGTTAACGAACGCGCAGCTGGAACCTTGGCATGATTGCTCAGAAATCACTGCTCGATACCCTGTGCGACGTCGGCGAGAGCGAGTCGAGTTATCGCCGAATTCGGCGCACGATTTTCGCACGCGCCGATTGCCGGAGCTTCGTCTAAAAGAGCACCGAGACACGCATCGAACGTGTCACGAGCAACAAATTCTAACGAACGGATGTTAATACTAAATTTACGGAATCCGTTAATATGACGGTTCATTAATTTTTTAATTTTTTAATTTACGATTACTCGTAAATATATGTTGCTCACTTAATAAATGTTACAATAACGCTTGCTAAAAATCAGGATAAATGTCTTATTGTTGCTTTTATAAACTAATACGAAACAGCTGTTTTTTAATATGAAACAGCTCCGTAAATCTAGTGTCAATACTGCAGCGAATCCGTCGCGGTAACGGCGTCGCGTACTTTCGTACGCGCGGCTGAAAACGACGCGTCGTCCGTGAGTGCTGTTTCATGTAAAATCGCGTTTCACAATCGTTAATATTCATGAGCGAGCTCTCGCAGGCGGAAAGGTGACTCTAGAGGCCCCGTGGCGGGTCAGGTGCGGGCCTCTTCGGGCCCGTCAGGTGCGCGGCGACTTCGGCACTTGAGCGTGCGATGGGTGCTCTTTCTCTTGGGTGCTCTTCTCGTCGAGCACTGGGCGCAGAAGATCGAGATGGGCGCGACGAAATTGAGCGTAGCATTCGCGTGGGAGAAACGTGAAAAACTTTCACCGTCTAGCTGCCAAAATAACCGAGGATTCGGCGGAAAAAGGGAGGGGAGAGCGTTTCGTCTGGGGCCCATTTGAGGACTCATCAGTGAGATTATTTTAGCGGACCCTTGCCTTGGGATGTCTGAAGGACGGATGAGGTTTGTGTACAGGGCGTCTCTAAAATGTCTCACAATACTAAAATGGAGGATAAATGAGATCATTTGAAACAACTTTTTCCTTCGCGAAGATGTTCTACGAGGCTTCGTTTACGAGTTATCAGCGAAAAAGCACTGGCCAATGAGAGACGAGCGCGGCTGGCGCCAGGCGGAGGAGCCAAAGAGCGGAGCCGGGCGTCGACCGCTGGTTGGCGAGGCCGCATCGCGTCAGTTGCGCTCGACTCTCATTGATCACTGTTTTTCGTTAATAACTCGTGAACGAAGGCTCGTAGAACATTTTCGCAAAAGAAAAAGTTGTTTCAAATGTCCTAGTGATAACAAAATTATGGAACATGATGTATACAAACAGAGGCAGATCGGTTACTTGCGGAAAAGAAGAATTCATCTACTGGCGAGTCAACATGTGACATCGTTCGAAGCAGCGAGAAATGCAGGGTGTCACAAAAATGTCTCACAATCGGGAAGTGGAGCTTCCTGATGTCATTTGAAGCACCTTTTTCCTTTGCGAAAATGCGATCCGCGGCTTCGTTTACGATGTATTGACGAAAAACATACGGCGCCACGCCCCTGCTCGTCCACGCTCCGCCCTCGCTCTCTCATTGGTCACAGTTTTTCGTTAATAACTTCGTAGTACTAAAATAATTTCGTAAACGAAGCCTCGTAGAACATTTCCGCAAAGGAAAAAGTTTCTTGAAATGACCTCAGGAAGCCCCCTCTTCCGGATTGCGGTACATTTTCGGGACACCCCGTAGAAATCTCCCTTCCAACTTCAGCGTGCACCAGCGGGTACAACGATATACAACGATTACCATTTCATAGAAACTTTATTGACCGGCCGGTTACATGCTCGACACGAACCGAATCGGAACGTTCCGGTTACGCGTGGAAGACGGTTCACGGTGGTGGCTTGCCAAGATACTTTTTATTCGGCTTTCACAAACGTTACAGCGGCTGGGTCCTCGACAAATAACCTTGACACGCCGTACGACATAAATCCGTCCCTAGTGATCACAGCGATCTATGATCGACGTGGCGCGATCTATGCTGCACCGTGACGCCTCGTCTCCCGTTGGCGCCACCATAAATAGCTCTTACTTTACAACGCGGGGTTCGTACGTAAAAAAAACGAGATTACAAAAGAATGACACGCAGTTCGCTGGGACCGCCCGCGACGGCGGCCCATCATCGGACAAACGGCGGCAGTTCGAGCGGATTCTCCGGCACCTCGTAGAAGTAGCCGAGCGGCCGCTTCGTGGTGGGCGGGAGCGTAGGCGGCGGCGCCGGGCTGCCGGTCGGCGGAGGCGTGTACTCGGTCGATGTGGGCGTCAGCGTGTAGATGGGCGTGGGCGGAGGGGGCGGAGTCACGGTGACGCGCGGAGGCGTCGGGCTCGAGGGAGGGAGGTACGGCTCCGGTCGGGTGCTCGGTCGTTCGCTGTTCGGCGGCAGGTACGACGACGGCCCCGTGGGACCGTGGGTCGTGGGCCTTGGACTCGGGTAGGTGACCCTTGACGTGGTGTAAGTGGTTCTGGGCGTGGTGTAGATGTCTCTAGGCGTGGTGTAGGTGGTCCTAGGCGTGGTGTAANCCAAATAACCTCAGCAATCGCCTCGTCCCAGGTGTTAACACAATCACGGGACACGCTGTATAATAATATCTATACATATTTTACAGCTCCATAAACGTTATTATAATACAATTGAAATATTATAAATTGCCATGATTACATTTCCAAATGACAAAAGAAGACACCTAACATTTTCAAATACTCTATGTATGTGTTTCATTCAGACCTGACATTGGACGTGGCCAACAGATTGACGTCCCCCGGATGCTTCGGTTTGTACTGATAGAAGGGATCCTCGTTCGAGTACGGATAGCCGTCCTCCTCCTCGGACCGATCGCTGTTGGACATCATCTCGCCGATGTCCGACGTCATGTCGTACTTCTTCGGGTTCACGTAAACACCGGTGAACTTGATGCCTCTGTTCGGCAGCTCGGCCTCGTTCGTCAGGTACTTTATGATGTCCTGTATGCTCCGCGACGCGTGCGGATACCGGTATTGCGTCAGCTGAGGATACTTCAGACGCTTGAAGGCCGTCGGCTGCTGGGACTTCAGCTCCCAATGGAACGGCGTCGGCCGGCTCTCCTCGGAGCTCTCGTCATCGTCGATCGAGCTTGGATACCTGTGTCTGATCAATATTCATTTACACGGAGTGTAAGAAAACATCTGCTTGATGTTTTCAATCCCATTCAGCCGATCGATTAATATTTGCTCACGGAGTTGTGCAAAGATGTTTCGTATCAGTTTAATGTTCGAGGGAGTCTGGTTTATCTTCGATTTATTAATTCGATTTATTTATTAATTATTATTATTATTATTATTTATTTAGCACATGGGAGTTAGAATCGATTTTAGTGGCCTTGGAATATGTACGGTGTCCCATAATTACGTTAAAACCCTGAGGGAGGTGATTCCAGAGGCCATTTGAAGCAACTTTTTCCTTTGCGGAAATGTTCTACGACGCTTTGTTTACGAGTTATCAACGAAAAACAATCGGAGAGCGAGTGTGGTCGGCGATCCGCCTCTGCGGCCAATGTCGCGCCGCGCCGGCCGTCTGGCGCAGCGGTGGTGGTCGCGCGGACGGGGCGTCAGCCGTACCCGTCTCGCGTTGGCTGAGCTCGCGTCTCATTGGTCACAGTTTTTCGTTAATATCTCGTGAACGGTGCCTCGGAGACGATTTTCGTAAAGGAAAAAGTTGCTTGAAATGATCTGAGGAATCACCACACTCCGGATGTTTATATAATTATGGAACACCCTGTATTTTGGACTACCTTTTTCCAGAGATATTGACGTGAGGACTCGGCTTTCGAGATGATATACTAACTCAGACATAACCTAGAATTAATCTAGCTTAATCTAGACTTAAGTTAGAATAAATGTAGACTTAATCTAGACTTAATCTAGACGTAATTTAGACCCGATTTAGACCTAATTTACACTCTCAACGTTCAAAATACTTAAAAACCGTTATTATAGCGTTACAAGTATAGGTTATGTCTCGGCATTACGTGAAATGGTAATTCGAAATTTCCTAAAAAAATGTCCCGTTCGAAAACGCCTCGACAAACCCATAATCCGTCTCGTTTCGTTCGGTGTCCAGCTGCGCGTGCGACGTCGCAACCATTTCGACGATCGTCAATGAATCGATTGCGTCACAAATTTCGTAAACAGTCGAGCGTCGCGCGCTCGGAGATTGCGAGAAGTTGATCACATACCTTTGTCTCACGCGGTAGACAGCCGCGTGATTGTCGAACAACTGTTTGCCCTCCGCGGGCGACGCGTCGCCGTTACCCTCCACGGACTTCAGCACTCTTTTCCGTAATTTGTAGTTGTTCAGATTCTGCGTGCGCAGCTCGGCGTCCGGTAGTTCGTTGTTGCCGACGCCGGCGTACGGGAACATGTTGTTTCCATTGTCGGACCGATCCTGGAGGGAAACCGGATGTCCGAGCACGGAGCGATTCGTCGCCGATCCGTTCACGAATTTCCTCGTCGCGTTGGTCGGCTTCCTCAAGGCATGCTGCAGGATGTACATGTGCTTCGACTCCTGGTTCACCTTGCTGTTCACGGCTGTAGCGGATGCGAAGTCGTACAGAAATATACCGACCTGCAATCAGACGCCGAGGGAGACATAACCTGTTTTTCCGAATTTCGAATTTGGACTCGTCACGTGCATTTGTACCACTCGTTAAAACTGTTTAACGTATTTTATAATTAGTTAACACATAATTATGATACATAAATTGTAATTAATTAATAGAAATTTATAGACTGAAGTAAACGATTCACCGAGTCATTTGGAGAAATTTTTTCCTTTGCGAAAATTTTTTCCGAGGCTCCGTTAACGAGTTATCGTAGATAAACACGAACCAATCGGGGAGCGCGGTGGACAGCGGCGCGGCGGTCGCGAGGGCGGGGCACCGGCCGCACTGCTCCCTCATTGGCCCACGTTTACTGGCCAATAACTCGTGAACGGAGCCTCGTAGAGAATTTTCGCAAAGGAAAAAGTTGCTCGTAATCACTTGAGGAATCGCCGGCTTCAAGGACTCTCGACGTTTTCAACATACTCTATATATTTTTCGCAAATCAAAATTGTCTGCATCCGTTGCACGAGATGGAAACTGAATGGCAAGTTCACTCCATCTGCAGTCATTTCAACAGGTTAAAAATAATACATTGACATTGTTAAATTCTTTTGACATAATTTAATAAAAAGGGAATAAAAAACAGGTGGATATTTTTCACCAAGAAAATATCTCAAAAAATTGCGATCGCTACAATCAAGAACCTTCATAACCTGGTTCGATTATTTCCACTGTTTTTTTTTGCTTCGTAATTTGCATGCGCTGGAAGATCGAGCTCGTTAAACTCCGTGCTTTCTCTAATTAAACAGTCTAGTCGATTGTAATCTGGTTTCTACGGTTGCGATATCGTTTGGATTTTTTCGACGGAAAAGGCAAAGGAAAAAAAAATTCGACGCCGACTCCGTTTGTCGCCGGTGTCTCGGGTTTCTAACGTGATCGGCGTGATTGCCGCGTTAACGAGAGTTAATTCGTGTCGAAACACAGTTAACGCCCTATATGTGAAGCGTGCAGAAATATCGTCTTTGACGCTTGGCTCGCCATGCATGGAAGGGCTATGCAGAGATTTGCGGTGAAATTGTGATTTTTAGCATCACCGCGGCGCGCCTGTTACATTAATCATGGGAGAAAACTCGGCGAGATGTAATTGCGCCCATTGTTCTACGGAATGCCGCCTCGTTAAGACACAAAGGGTCCGAAAGCTTTACTTTTTTCACGACAATCGTGGCCATTGTCGGACCGAGCCGCGCCGTTTATCTGGTTTCACATAATATTTATGATAATTATAGCGCGAACCCGTTTCTAATTGCCCATTTTATAAATTAGTCTTCGAGTATCTCCATTGTTCGCGAATCGGACGATTTAATTAAACATTTTTTTTGCTTTTATTTCCAACTGCAACAGGAATCGCTATTTTACTAATTGATATTAAATTATATTATTATATTATTCTATTATTTTGTTATTCTGTTATTATATTATTATATTATTCCGTTATTTTGTTATTCTATTATTCTATTATTTTGTTATTCTATTATTATATTATTCTGTTATTCTGTTATTCTATTATTCTATTATTCTATTATTCTGTTATTATGTTATTCTATTATTATATTATTATATTACTGTTATATTATTGTATTATTATATTGTTTTATTATTATATTATTATAATATTATATTATTATATTATTGTATTATTATATTATTATATTGTGATCATTAACAATTTATACAAAACCCAAAATGATTTCAAAAAGTTGTTGCTGATTTATCTTTCTCATTTATTGCATAAGTATACTTTGACATAATAATAGCAAATATATAGGTGATTCCATAGCTATATAAAGAAAGATATAAACATTTCACAACGAAATTAAACATCATGGATTAATTTTGTTAACAAATTGTTCCACCGGTTCGTAAATTGTTTACAAAATACCACAACCCGATTGTCGATATTTGCACATCAACGTGCAATTAACAGTTTTAACAACAGTTTTATTAACACAGACGTGTATCACTTTATAACAAGGATCTAATAGACACGCGGTTTTCTAGACCAACTTTCGAGCAATTAAAAAAGCCGCTGGCCCGATTGAATCCCACCGGGACAGGACGCCCGATAAATTAATAATTCCACGCGGAATTTTCTATTTACGTCATCGCCCGTTCATTAAGGATCTGTTGACCCCGCTTGAGTGCGCGTGCGCGCGCGCGCGCGCTCGAGCGCGAGCGCGTTAAATCGTGCGAACGTACGAACACGGATAACGTTTAGACACGATCCGACGCAGTGAACTGTTAATGAGCGACGGATAATGGGCCGGGATCACGCCGAGGAAGTCGTTGAACCGGATGGCCGTGGCAACAGGAACAACTGTGCCGATCTCGGTCGACGAGCAGATCGAAGGATTGTGCAACGCCCGGCGTAATTAGCCGGTGATCTAACGTCGATTGATATCGTCCGAGCGAGGGCTTGGGAAAATGGAGAATTTTCGGGGTAATTGTCATTTTAATATGAGCTAAAATTAATTGAATCACGTCTTGCGAAGCGAAATTTTGTGGGACAGTTTAGTTATTAGCGGTACTAATTGCTAAATAATTTTGTATTAATCAGTGTTGGCAGAGTGTAACGTCTTCGAAGTGGTAAGGAAATTTTTTTGAATAGAATTAGAGAATTTAGAGAAGCAGTAGATTGTGATCTGAGATTAGTGGAACAATATATTGTGATACTAAATAGTTTTATATTAATTAGTGTTCACAGGATAAGTTGTCAGAAAGATAAGGAATTTCTTTTTAATGGAGTTTGTAAATTTAGTGAAACAGTACATTGTGATCTGAGTTTAGTAAAACAGTACATTGTGATCTGAATTTAATAAAAGAGTATGTTGTGATACTAAATCGATTTACGTTAATTAGTGCTGACAGAG